ATTTTTGGCCACCAACTACTGTAACTTTGGCTGACTAGTTCTGAGCTGGTGCTGCTAGAGCATCCTTTGGCTTCCTGATGACATGGATCTGTATGGAATTATATCACCTTTGGCTGCTGGGTCGTGCTTGTTAATCTCCTGGTGGTGGTCTAGAGTTGTTTTTTGATTGAGTTCTGGTGGTGGCCTGTTTTCTAACCAGTAATACTAGCCAGTCTCCACTACTGGCCAATTTTGGCCATACCAGCTGTCAATGGAGAACTGACTCACCCCTGGGCTCTAACCGTGCAACAATTGCACACAGTACTACTACTCCTCTTCTTAGTAACACTACTAGTAGTATGACCGAGCATATCCCCAAAGGGGATCTCATTAGAGGTCCTTCCAGAGCTGTTGTGGTTAGCTTATTGAACTGTTTGGGGTCAAAAGAGTGACTGGATAGCAGTAGATCTATGTAGTAGGATCAGTACTAAATACTGGGCTTCAAAATTAWCAAATGATTTTAGTACTACTACTASTASTASTAGTAATAATTWTWGGTGTTTGAGTACTAGAGTGCCTTTTGCACTGTGGTACTAGGGCATGGTACAGGATTATGATTGTCACATTTTATATCAATTAACTGGTACTGCAGATAAGATGATCTTTTTATTTTTTCTCTTTCTTTACAGGTACWACAAGGACTACCTGTAGTCTTCCTCATTCAGATATGTTTGTTGGAGAAGCCTGACAAAATCTTATGATATCAAAAAATAAGTAATGATTGGCTCACTGATACAAATAGTTACTACGGTGCTAAGTTAAAGGATTGGTGTTCCAAAAAAAATTAGTAAAAGCTAGTAATGTCACATCATAAGTTCAGATACTACTACTACTAGTACTACTCTGGTGTAGTAGTAGTAGTTCAATGTTTCCAACTGTTTGATGCCAGTACTAGTAGACTCGTAGTAGTAGCAAATGATATCTGCTCATCAACAGCAGCAATGGTGCTGCTGAGGAGCAGGCAAAAAGAAGTCTCATTTTATAATTGTCCCATGTAAGATTACTACTAGATGTGTTACAATTTAAACCACCACAAGCTTTGCATGTTCTTATTTTACCATTGATGTTAACTGCTGCTGTTCCAGTCGGTCATGCCTGGTGTGACAATGTTGAAAAAGTTCACTACCTAGTATTTTTTGCAAAACATCTTCTTGAAAGTACTACTACTACAATAATGTGAAGCAGAATGAATTCCCTTCTACTATTTTCCAGTACCAGCAACCCCTGATAAAATATTGATGAACTTCTCATAGTAGTTGTTCATGATTGCCTTGAGATCTTGTATGTACTTGATGTTGGGYCAATTACCAATCTTCCCTTTGAGTTTCATCTCTTTTTCTTATCAATCAGATTAATGCACAGATTTTTACCAAGCATTGAATAAAAGCAGCAACACTTAAG